AAAGTGTTTTATTCAGAGAAAAAATAAATATGTAAATAATGAAAATATTTTTTTTAAATATTAATTAAATTTTAGATAAATTTTTATTTAATTTCTATTAATTTTTTAAATAATTTATAATTAAAATAATTTTTTCAAATTTTTATTTTTTTAATTTCAAGATAATTTACCTTTTTTTAATTTTTTTACCAAAAATATTTTTTAAAAAAAATTATTGTTGTTTAATTGTTTTAAGATTCCATAGTAACGATAAAATTTTTCAAATTAATTTGTCTATTTATTTTTTTTGTTTTTTAAAAGAAAAAATATTTGAATAAAAAAATTTTTTTGAAGAAATTATTTATTGTATTTAAATAAAAGAAGTATAATTATTTTGAAAAAAATATTTTTAATTATTTGGCAAAAATAATAAATTGTGTAAAATAAATTAATCTTTAAAAATAAATAAAATTTAAAAAATTATAAAAATCTTCAAAAATTAATTATTATCTCTAAAATACTATTTACATCCCAATCCCCAATTATCCCCAATTATTCAAAAATTAATTTATTTATTTAATTCAAAATTATATATAATTTCTTTGTTTCTAAATTTTTACTTCTTTTAAAATTTTAAATTTTCTCAGAATTTACTCAAAATAGAAAAGGAAATTTAAGCTTACAAAAAAAGTATTTTTAAAAATAAATATTTAAATATCTAAAAGAAATGTTTAGTGACAAAAATGGAAATAAAAATAAATATTTAATTTTAAATAAAGAATTTTGGAAAGCAATTTTTATTTAATTTATTTCTAATAAAATTATTTTTGTAAAAATAAAACCAAAAAATTTTCTTTTTTTAATTAGGTAATTTAAAATATTTTTTGATTTTCAATTTAAATTTTCTCAACAAATTTCTACACATTTTTACCTTTTTTCGAGCTTTTCACCTTTCTTCTTCCTTTATTTATTTTAGACTACAAAAAGGATATATTTTATGTAGTAGCTATACTAAAAGAGGCAGCTGCTCTTTTAGTATATTTTTTATTATTTCGATTAATGTGCCAAAATGAGAAAAATATGTCTCTAAGTTATAGCTAAAATAGGATGGCTTTTATGCACTTTTTCTTTCAGTTTTTATTAATATTTATTTGTTATAAAAATATATTTTGAATAGAAATCTTTAAAATAATTTTAAAAAATTTATTTTTGAATTATTTGAATTTTGAATTATTGACCACCCCCACCCCCTCATAACCGATATTTTTATTGTTTGTAACTAATTTACTGAAAAAACATTTTTTATTAAAAATCCTTTTAAAACCCCATACTTAAATAATAAATTTTTGTTTAAATTCCCCATGGCCATATTCAATAATTTTTAACTTTCCTCTCCTCTTTTTACCTTTTTTATCCAAAATTATTCAAGCTTTCCCCTTTTTTTATTTTTTCATCAGACATTTATTCAGCCGATGGATGTGAATAGAAAAAAAGAACATCCTTCTTCCTTCAATTCCCCCTTATTTTTAGCCCTTCCAAACCCAACAAACCTAACCAACCACCTCCCAGCCGTTTCTACTACATAAACATAACCTTTCTTTTACCCTTTCGATTTTTCTTTTTAATATTTTATAAATTTATTTTTTAGAAGTTTATTTTAAAAATTTAATTTTTTTTTGTTTTGATTCTCTATAATTGATTTTTATTATTTTTTAAATTATTTTATTTTACTAGCTTCATGTTGAGCTTTATGACCAGTTTTTGTTATAAATAATTTTTGTTAGAAAATAATAAAAGGAAATTAGACAAAAGAAAATTAAAAATAAAATCTTTTTTTTTCAAAATACTCTCATAAATATTTAAATTTTAAATAATTAAATAAAAATACAAAAATTAATTAATTTTAACTTTATTTTCATTTAATAATCCACAATTTCCCTCGAAATATATTTAATTCTTTTACATATTTAATTTCAGTTCTTATTTCATTTCTTTTTTTCAAAGAATCTACTTAAAAATAAGCTTCCTTCTCTTTTTTTTCTCTAAAAGCTTTGAAAGAAAAAATATAAGGAGGGGGAGAAACTTTTAAATAAAAAAATAAGAGAAAATTGTTTAAACAAAACTTGATAAAAAATATATATTTATTTATTTAACATGAAAAAAAAGAAAAATTGGCAGAAAAAAAAACAAAACAAAATTGATTTTTTAATTTTTATTTATTTTATATTTTTAGTTGGAGGATATAACCCTTTAAAACTTATGTTTGTAACACCTGTTTAATTAAAAAAAGGAGAGGAGATAAAGGAATTTAGGCTGTTTGGATTACCTGAAGGATTAAATTATTGATTTGGATCTTTGGAAGATTTTGGCCATACTTCTTTTACCCTTGAAACGGTTTCTAAATATTCTGTTTAAACAAAGTACGAAACTGTTGTTCTTTTTCAGAGATTAATTTTGAATAATATGTATATTCCTCAAAACTTTTTTTAAATTTATTTTTTACTTATCTACATATCTTTAATTTCCTACATACTTAATTAATTTATTTATTTTCTTTAATTTTTTAAAAATCTTCAAAGTATTGCAACGGAAATATATTTATATTTATTTTTCTGATCAAGCAAAATCCATGTAAATAAACATCTGGTATATATTGAACTTTGTCCTTTTTATTACAACTTTTCAATTTTACAAATGTTTGATCGTTTCTCTTTAATTTAAAAATATATTTGCAAAATAAATAAAAAAATTTTTATTCTTTTTAATTTTAAAAAATCTTTTTTTAAATTTTATTAAATAATTTGTTTAAATTAGTAAAAATTTCTTGGGTGAAAAAATAATTTTGATTTTATTAAAAAATATTTTTTATATACATATTTAGTACCCATTAATTTTTGAATATATTCGTACCTCTAAAAGGTTTTTTTACCTCTATTTTCTACTGGCCTTGGTTAGCATAAAATTTTAACTAAACTTAAGAAAAAAGAAAGAATAGTCTGATTTAAAATTTAGAAGTTAATGACTACTTTTCAATCTGTCTTTTTAATTCAAATTTACTTCAACTAATTTTATTAATTAAAATCTGACAACAATTATTTAACAACAATTGCCATTAAAATTAATTATTTTTAAAAATCCCAGACTTTTTTTTAAATAAAACAACTGTTTTTATTTTTAATAAAATTAAATAAAAATATTTTTATTGAAGCTAAATAAAAATGTTTATGACATCACTTTCAGGTGAAAACTTAATTTGTAAAATTAATCTGTTATAAATATTATGAAAAAATAAATTTGTCATATTTTTAACCTACATACATATTTTTTAAAAATTAAAAAAAATTCTTTTAAGAAATTAAGTCATCAATTTAAAAAATCCTTAATTTTATTTTTAAATTTATTTTCAATTTTGACATTTTATTATAAAATCAGTTTTTGACATTTCTAACGAAAATATTTTTAGGAGAGGAATAATTTAAATTTTAAAATCTTCACAAAAATAGGTACTTCCTTTATTTTATAAATTCTTTAAATTTTAAATTATTATCAACACAAATTCAGTTTAAGATGATTATTTAAGTAAGGATATTAAACATATTTTGTTAATAATATTTTTTAAAAATCTAAAAAACAATGTGAGGACTAATTGTAAAGAGACAAAAAAATAAAGAAAAGGAAGAAAAAAATTAGGTAAAATGGGAGAAGATACAAAGTTCATTCCTAGTATTCTTTTTAAAAACAAGTCCAATACATGTCCATTAAAATTAGAGTACATCGTTGCCTAGAAAGACCGAGATCTCGGTTTTTCCATATTTTCTCTCTTTCATTTCAAAAATTTACTCTGTCTCGGTTTTGTTGAAATTCTCGAATTAAAATAAAGTTTTTAAGGAAATATAAGAGACTTAATTTCCAAGTATTTTTATTCAAAAATTTCTTCGAACTACATACTTTTTTTAATAGCTCTGGGATGGAGGGTGGAGGACATTAAGTAAGCTAGTATTTGTTTCCCCGGAGATAAAAGGAGAAGAAAAAATTAAAAGAGGAGAACAAACACAAAAATATATCTAAAGTGTGTGTGTGATAATTGTGTGGAAATAATCATGTTCTCCTTCTTCTTCTTCTTCAATTTTTTCTTCTTAATCCATTCATTTTTTATTCCCCTCTCTCTCAAAATCTCATGCTTAAATTCCAAAGTCCTCCCCTTTAACTGCCCTTTTCCCAAGAATGTTCTCCTTCTCACCACCCACCTCTTTTTTCCTCCTTCTTTTCTCTCCCGTGTAAATTAACAAATAATTTTATGCTACTTATTTAATTAAATAAACCTCAAATTATTTTTAAGATTATTTAAAAATTAAAATAAATTTTTATTAAAAATATTTAAAGATGAAAGATCGTTTAAAATTATTTTTTATTATTAATCTTCTTTTTAAAAATTTTCTTTAAATTATTTAATTAAAAAATGTTTGTTTAAAATATTAAGTGTTGAAAATTTTTATTTTAAATAAACTAAAAATTTTATTTTTTAATAAAATATTTAAAAAATTCAAACTAGAAAATAATCGAGAATTTAAAAATAAAAAAATTCTAAGTATTTTTTTCATTTCCAAAACGTGTGTTTTGTTACATTTTTATTTTTAAGTCATCCACTTATAAATTATTTTAGCTTTATTTTTTTCTTTTATTTTCTACGTAATCGGAAATCAAAATACAAAATAAAAATAAATTATATTTTAACTTTTGCTTAAAATAAATTATAAAAATATATTTATTTTTAGTTTATTTCTTAATTTAAAAAGCAATAAAAATAACGTACATATTTTATTAACAATTAAATAAATATATTTTTTTCTTTTTTTTAATTTTTAAAATAATTAAAATACACACACATTTATTTTGTGTTATGTTTTGTTTCTTTTTTTAAATATAAAACACAAAAAAAACTTTTTTCAATAAAAAATAATTATTAATGCATTAATTTTTGAGTATTTCTCTAAAATTATTTCAAAAAATTTTAAATTTTATTTTTAGAAGATTCAAACGAAAGTAAAGGAAATAAAGAAGTTAACAAAGAAAAAGATACTCCCCCTCCTCCACCCATTAATTTTAAAATTAAAAATACACAAACAAAGGACGAAGAAAATAATAATAATATTCTCCAACAATCAGCAGAAAAGCGCAGATGTCAATCCTTCAAGGAACAAAAAGAGGAGGAGAAAAGCGGTGATGAACCAACAAAAAGACGCGATTCACTTTGGATGTAAGCCAAAATTAAATTAAAATTATTTTTTTAAATATTCTCTTTATTTTTAAAAAATATTTTTTGGAAAAAATTTAAATTTAAATTTATTTTTTTAATTTAAATTAATCAATTTGTCCTTCCTTTCCATTGTTTATTTGTTAGGAAAATTTCATTTTTGGAGACAAGAATTAAGCAAATATTAATTGTAATATAAACAATCAAATAGAAAAAAAATTATTTTTCTATTATTTTTAAAATTTTTAACAAAACCTAACAGACAATAATTATTTAAAAAAATATTTAATAAATAATTTTAAATAAAAAAAATTAAAAAAATTATCAAATATAAATTTAAAAAAATATTTATACAGAAGATAGTTTTTTAATTTTATTTTTAGTATTCACGTCATTTATTCTAAATTTAAAATAAAAAACGCGTGCTTTGGAATTTAGCATTATTCACAACATAAATTTATTTTAAAAGAATTATTCTTGCTAAATTTTTATTAAAAAATGTTTTAATTTTCAAAAAAATATTAATTAATTTATTTGTTTTAATTTCAAAAGGTCAATGGGCATTCATCGAACAGAAGAAGCTCGTCAATCTATTCGAAAACGAAGACTCTCTCGCAATCGGGAATCTCTTGAAATTGGAGGAAATACAAACACTAATAATATGATCACAAATCCACAATCTACAGCATTGACTGTAGATGAAATGGGTAAATAAATAAATTAGTTTTTGAAATATTTCTGAAAAATTAAAGGAAAATCCCCCAATTTTAAGTCAATTTAATATTTTGAGTTCCTGAAAATAAAAGGATTTTAAGTAAAACCTGTGGTCTTTATCGTTCTATAATTTCCCTCCTCTCCTAAAAAAGCTTTTCAAAAGTAAAAACTTCCTTGTAATTCTTTCAAATTTTTTCCTTAAAATGAAAAAAATTGTTAAATTGGATAGAATGACGCAAAAATGAAAAAAAATCGGTTAAGACTGATGAAAATAAGAAAAAAATTTTTCGAAAGATGAGAGAGAGATAGACTACCTAGACTATTTTTTGGCACTTTCTTTTTATTTTCTTTATTTTTTTTTTCTTGGCTAATGGAAAAAGGCCAAAATGCGTCTAGGGAAGGCCTTACGTATTAAATAAATATTGACTGGATTTGTGAAAAGAGAAGAATTTTTGTTGTTAAATGACTTTAACATAAAAACTTTTCTTTATTTTTTTCTGTTCATTTTCTTCCTGTAAATTCCATTCCATGAAAAAGCTTAAATAAAAAAAATTAAAAACAAGAAGTTCCCCCTTTAAAATAAAAAAATCTTCCTCTCTTTGCACACACAAACAAATCCAGTCAATAATAGTCTAGCAGCACTATTTATTTAAAAACACGAAGCTTTTGGCGACTGGTAGATTGCGGTTTTTAAAGGAAAAACAGGGAAAGGGTCATCCCTAGGATGGCTGGCTTTTAAGCCATTTGTCAATAATTTGACAGCAACGATTTTTTAATAATTTATTTTAATTATTAAATTATTTCAATTAATTCTATAATATTTTCCTTATTAATTATGTACAAAAGTCTCATTTTTAAGGGCTTCTTTATAAATAACATTAAATTTTTGTTTCATTTTCTTTTTTTATTTCCTTGTTAGTTTTCTATTTTAATTAACTTTGAATAATACAAGACGAGAATTATATCTTTAATATTTATAATAATCATTTTTATCGCCCCAAAGGCTTCAAAGTCTTTTAAACAAAGTCATCAAGTCCTTCAAATCTCCCTCCTCTAGTTATTAACTCCTCCCTCTTCTTAAATAATATTTTTACAAATTTTTAGCAAATTTGGCTCCAGGAACTCGAATAATGTTCCTTTTGGGTGAACAAAGTGAGGCCCCTGCCGTTTTTACTGAAATGGGTGAACTTTGGCGTAGTGGGGATGTTGAAGAATGGAGAGAAACAGCTAGATGGGTTAAATTTGAGGAAGATGTTGAAGAAGGGGGCAATAGATGGTCAAAGCCGCATGTTGCTACATTGTCTTTACATGCTCTATTTCAATTACGGTTCTAATTAATTTTAATTGAAAAAATTATTATTACTTAGTTCATGTTTACTTCATGGAATTATACTAATTGATTCAGAAGCAGAATCAATGCCGGAATTAATTGGTGTGTTAATAATTAATTAATTATTTTAAAATAATTAAAAAATTATTTTAGAACATATTTTGGACGAATTTGTAGCCAAAAACGATTTACAAGAAAGTGAAAAAATGGCGGTGCGTTATGTTCTTTCTCGACGGCATACTCATCAATACGAGCAGGTAATTATAATTTTTTACACATTTAATTCTCTCAATTATATCCCCTTTATTCAATTTTAATTACCCTCTAAATAATTTAAGTTTGTATTTTCGCTATAATTCTTTAATAAAAAATTAATTTTATTTTTTCTGTTTCAAATTTATACCTAATAAACAATTTCTAGGCTCGTCATTCTGGTGGGAGTTCAAATGGTGCATCGAGTAGCCAAGGAAGTTTTTTAAATGCCGTTCGCTCCATTTCGGATATTGGACGTTCATTTTCTCATGGCAAAAATCTCCATCAAAAAGGTCAAGAAGAGAATTTACAAGGTGGTGGAGACAGCACAACACAAAGCCCCGTTAATAAAAAGCCGCAATTTGGTCCTCAACTTGACCTTCCTAAAGTGAATTTAAATAAATATTTAAAAAAAATAATCAGAATATATTTAAAGGTTGGGTCTCTCCCAAAAGACATACAAAAAGAAGGCTCTCAAAATAGTGAATTCTTTGGTCGAAATACACATTTTATGAAAAAACTTCCCCCTGGAGTTGAAGCTTCGAATGTTTTGGTTGGAGAGGTAAAAATTGAGAGTTAATTTTATCTTTTATTAAAATCAGTATTAATTCTGGTTCCAAAAAATCTAACGGTTTCGTAGTCCATTTTACTGTTCGTTGGCCGGAATAATATTTTTAAAACTAAAATAATTACAGTATATGTACCATCATTTTAATTATTTTATTAATTAAAATTCCTATAATAATTTCAGGTTGAATTCCTCAGTCATCACATAACAGCATTTGTTCGACTTAAAAAAGCACAATTACTTGGTGATCTAACAGAGGTGCCTGTACCCACCCGTTTTCTCTTCCTCCTCCTCGGCCCGTCAGGCCATGCTGCCCAATTTAAGGAAATTGGTCGAGCAATTGCTACTTTAATGAGTGACGAGGTGAAATTAAATAATTAAAAAAATTTTGGTCCTTAACACACTTTGTGGACTGTCATTTTTAAAATTAGAAATTTTTGAAACAAAAGGATTAACTTTAAATAAAAAACATGATCTGTTTAGAATGGGTCATTTTATTAAAAATATTTTTAAAAATATCCGAAAATAAATCACCGGAAGAATTTTTATTTAAATGAAATTAGGTTAAAATTTTTAGATATTCCATGAAGTTGCCTACAAGGCAAAACAACGTTCGGATTTGCTAGATGGTGTTGATGAATTCTTAGATGCGGTAACTGTTTTACCGCCCGGCGAATGGGATCCGAGGTGGGGATTTTTTGTTAATATATTTATTTGAATAATTTAATTTTTCGGAAAGATATAAATTATTTTTTAAAATTTTTAGCATTCGAATTGAGCCCCCTAGTACAATCCCTAATCAACAAAGCCGTATTCAGGTTAGTTTAATATTTTAAAATAATTATATCTTAAAATTAATTATTAGCAAAAGCCCTCAGCTATAAGTGACAAATTTGCCTGTAATAAATTATCAGGAGCTAGTACTGGTGATCCCACAATTGGATTACCTGGAGGGAGTAATGGAAAGGATTTGGGTGGCATTGGAGGTTCTAAACTTGCTTTAGCCAACGGGAAAAAAGTTTAAAAAATAAAATTATTTTTTAATTTTATTAGTTTCAGACTAGTTTGGAAGAAGAGGAGGGTCACGGTCAAGATCCTGGTTTACGCAGAACTGGGAAATTGTTTGGGGGTTTAATGTTGGACATTCGGTGTGTTAATTTGGAAATAAATTTAAAATAAATTTTAATTTTTAAAGTCGGAAAGCCCCGCATTATTTATCCGATTTTACTGATGCATTAAACCTTCAATGTATAGCAACTACTTGTTTTATGTATTTTGCACTGTTGGCCCCAATTGTAACTTTTGGTGGTCTTTTAGAAGAAGCTACTCATCAAAGAATGGTTATTTAAAGAATATTTGGAAAAATTTAAAATTCTTTTAAAGGCAGCAATGGAGAATTTAGCTAGCGGTGCAATCTGTGGCATCATATATCACTTGTTCAGTGGCCAGCCTCTAACTATAATTGGCTCTACCGGCCCTGTACTTGTTTTTGAAACAATTGCCTTTGATATTTGCAATGTAATAGAATAATAATTTTTAAAATTCTTTAAAATTAATTTCTTTAAAAAAGTCTCTTTCAATTGACTACCTCTCATTTCGATTTTGGATTCATGTATGGACTGCTTTAATTATTTTTATAATGGTTGCAACAGATGCATCTTCTTTAGTATCATATATTACTCGTTTTACTGAAGAGTCTTTTGCAATGCTTATAGCAGTCATTTTTATTTATGAAGTGATTTTAAATTTTAAATAAATAATTTAAAATATTATCTAACTTTAAAGGCTTGTATGAAACTTTTTATGATTAAAGACCAATTGGATGTTATTAGGTATAAAATATAGTAAATAATTTAATTCAAAAAATATACCTATATAGTTATATACCTCCAAACGAGCCTATACCTGTTGGAGAAGAATGTCATTGTATTTCGACCGGTGCTCCTTTCGCCAAAGTTCAGGCTATAGCTGCTAAACGTCACTTTACTTTATTACCGACTAATAACAGTTCGGGGCAAATGGAGATTGACTATTCGCTTATTCCATTGGGTAAATGTAAACAATTGTTGGGACAATTAGAAGGAAGTACTTGCTATATTTTACATGACAAGTTGCTTATGAGCATTGTTCTTATGGTTAATAAATTTAATTTTAATTGAAAGAATATTTCCTTAAATTATTATAAACTTTTAATCAGAAAAATTTTTAATTTTTTTATCAACAGATTGGGACCTTTTTTATGGCTATAACTCTAAAAAGAATGAGAAACAGTCGTTATTTCCCTACAAAAGTTCGTCAAATTCTTTGTGACTTTGCAGTAATGATTGCAATTATTTGTATGACATTACTTGATATTTTTGTTGGAATTAATACACCAAAATTGAATGTGCCATCGACTTTTAGAGTTTAATAATTAAAAGAATCACGTTTAAAACCTCACTTTTTTAGCCAACTTGGTCAGGCCGTGGGTGGTTTGTCCCTCCTTTTGGCTCTAATCCTTTTTGGACAATACCTTTTGCTATTTTCCCTGCATTGTTGGCCTGTGTTTTAATTTTTATGGATCAACAAATAACTACTGTTATTGTTAATCGAAGAGAAAATAAATTGAAAAAAGGTTGTGGCTATCATCTTGATTTGCTTGTTCTTTCAATTCTTATTATAATTGTTGGTGCTTTGGGGTTGCCAATCTATGTAGCTGCTACTGTTCTCTCAATGAACCATGTCAACTCATTACGTGTTGAAAGTGAAAGTAGGGCACCTGGGGAAGTTGCACAATTTATTGGTTGTAGGTGTGTTTTCTTTAAAATTTTAATAATATATATTAACATGATATTTGTATATTTTTAATAAAAAAATTTCTTAAAGAGAACAACGTTTAACTGGCATTTGCACTTTCTTACTTATCGGTCTCTCCGTCACAATGACAAAGTTACTCAGTCACATCCCAATGCCTGTACTCTATGGAGTTTTTCTTTATATGGGTATTTCTGCATTGGGTGGCATTCAATTATTTGATCGTTTCTTATTAATGGTAAACAGTGAAATAAATTTAAAAATTATTTATTTACTTCACATTTAGTTGATGCCAATGAAATACCAACCGGACACAATCTACATACGTCATGTTCCCATCCATGTCATTCACAAATTTACATTATTCCAAATAGCCTGTCTGGCATGTTTATGGCTTGTTAAGTCGATTAAAGCAACTTCTATGACATTTCCTATTATGGCATGTTTTTGAATAGATGAATACAGTGGCGGCAATATGTTTACGACCACTTGATTAAAAAAATGAAACTATCGATAACTCGATTAAATCATCTCAGACGAATTTGGTGTAAATATATTTTTTGTAGCATTTTTTATTGGCTATCATTTCGTACCAAACTTTTTTCATAATCTTTATTTTTTCGAAAGTAGTCCTTAGACAATCGCATTTTAGGGAGGAAAAATGTATACGACCACTCTTGTTTTTCCTACTTAAACTGGTGCAAAAATTCTAAAAAAAATTTTGTAGACATTTCCATCGATACTGAGTAGGAAATTAAAAAGAACGAAGTCAGTAACTTCTTTCTTCGTCAAGATCTTAAGTCACGAAAATCAACGGGAAATAGGGGTACAGTACTTCAAAAAATATTTTAACCCCCTAGAGCTTAAAATAAAAATTTTCTTTTAGGCCTATCTGAAAGCCCATAAAATTTGCTACAAAATAGTCCAAGTTTTTATTTTTCCAATAAAAACTAATTGAGCTGAAGGTAGGGCAATTTTTTATGTTATCATTTCTGGGTATTTTAGGGGATTTTTGACCATTTTTATGTGGAAGTTGATGTGCGTCGAACAACTATTTTTTAAAATAAATGAGACCAAGACTATTTTGTAGCAAATTTTATGGGCTTTCAGACAGGCCTAAAAGAAAATTTTTATTTTAAGCTCTGGGGGGTTAAAATATTTTTTGAAGTACTGTACCCTCATTTCCTGTTGATTTTTGAGATTCGAGATCTCGATGATGAAGGAAGTTACAGACTTCGTTCTTTTTATTTTTCTACTCAGTATCGGTTGAAATGTTCACATAAATTTTTTCAGAATTTTTGAACCAATTAAAGTAGGAAAACTCAAAGTGGTCGTAAACATATTTCCCCCCAAAAATATGACTGTCTTAGTTAATATTGCTATAACTTTCGAGAAAATAAAGATTTTTAAAAATGTCTGGTATGAATTGATAGCTAATAAAAAATGCTACAAAAGATATATTTACACCAAATTCGTCTAAGATGATTCAATCGATTTATAGATGGTTTTATTTTATTTTGCCAAGTGGTCGTAAACATATTGCCGCCACTGTATGTATTTTAACCTTTTTTAAATTTAAGTTGGTTGTAATGGTAGCTGTTCGAAAATTAATGGAGCGTTGTTTTTCTGAGAAAGATTTGAAGTATTTGGACGATAAAATGCCAGAATTTCATTTGCGCCGAACTGAGGATAAACAAAAACGTGAATCACACGGAGGGCAGACAATTGACATTGATTTGGATGAGAATCAAGGAACGATTAGAGCAGTGAAGACTGAGGCTCATTTACACATACCTATGACATCTGGAAATGTTAATTTGTTTATTAAAACAAATAATTTTTTAACCAAATATTAGTTCAGGTCATCAAAATCCCTTTGGCGGCAATCCAAGAACCAACACCTCCTTCCCACAATATTAACATCAGCGAAGCTGTCTGTCAAACAGGAATGTGGCGTTCTATTGCTAGCGAATCAAAATCATCCTTGCAAAAAATTGGAAAGGATGGAGAAGTGAAGGATTCAAAGTCGCCGAATCCAAAGAGAGAACAGAGCTCTTCTGATCAAATTACTAAATCTCCCTCTCCAATGACTGCAACTGTCCATTGTGAACGGTGCGGAATTACAATAAAATTATTAATAATTATTCTATAATAGTTTAGTAATACAATAATTAGGGATCGGACTTTGACAAAATTAAAATTTTGACTGAATCTCGATTGAACTTTGAAAAATTTTAACTTTTGATTTTGACCGATCCCTAACAAAAGCTGTATATACATACTTACAGTCGAACCTCGTTTTTAGCTACCTTAAACTAAATATTACTTGATTTAGGTTATGCTTTTTAAAAATTGGTTAGAAGGTGCCTAAGCGATACTTCCAATTTATAGTACTCTTATCTGCTATGAATTTCAGCCCCAAAAGCTATCTAAAAATGATATTCGACTTTAATATAATTTTATTAATCTATTTTATAAAATATTTAGAAAGGAAACAGGCTCACCTCGGCTTGCAACGCCTGAGGAAGATGATGATCAGGCAATTACAATCACTGTTGGTAATGCTGCAGTGAATGCATCAAACAGTGAGCAGCAACCTCTACTCCAACAACGTGCCGGGAAGGGAAAAGACAAACAGCAACATTTAATGGGATCTCCTGTTTAAAATTAGCATTTTCTAAATATTTTAATTTCTTTCTTCCTCATTTCCCTTTTCTTTCAATTATTCTCATTTTTAACAAGCAATATTAAAAATTCTGAAATTTATTGACAAATTATGTATGTATTTTTGAAGTTTAATTGAAAATACAAATCAGAATTTAATTCTATAATGTATTTTTCAGAGTTTTTGTTTTTTCCGGATATGTTATATTCTTTTTAATTTCAGAAAATATTTTTTATTTTTTTAATTTCGATTTCAATACTAAAATATTATTTTCTGGAATTTCCTCTAATTCCTCCTTTAATTAAATTTTATTTTTGTATTTTTTGGATATTTTTCTTTTTAAATTTAATTTTGCATTTTCACTCCCACACTTTTTAACTGCCTTTTTAAATTTAAATTTTTTACTTTTTCTACTGACTTTTTAGAGTTATCATCTGAAACAACTTGGGTAATTAAGCAATTTATATTTTTTGATTATTAAGCAAATATGTATAGATTATTTAAAGTAAAAATTTAAATTATAAGGTAAAATCTATCCCAGTGATTTTAATTTTTTATTTTATTTTTTCAAAAAAGTTTATTTGTAATTTCGGGGTTAATTACTTCCCTTTTTTTGAATTTATTTGTTTTTATTTTTTGATAAAAATTTAATTAAACAATTTTTTATTTAATTTATATACTCTTCATAGTTTGAGAAGAATAACTTTTAATTGAGGATTAGTCAAATCAATCAGTCAATCAAATTTTGAGTAAAAATTATTTTAATTAGAATAACTATGTATATTTTGAAAAAAATATGAGTGATGTTTTTTGCCTTTGACTGCAAATTTTTAATAATTTTAACAAAATTTGACTTTATTCTCTAAAATTGATGAATTTATTACAATAATTAAATATAAATATTTAATTATTTTAAATAATATTAATTAAACGTATAAAACAATTTTATTTAACGATAAGAAAGGCAACTGAAAATGTAATAGATACACTTCATAGTCTAATATTATTTTTATTTTTTATCATTTTCATTACTTCCTCATAAATTATTTTTAACAAACTTTTAAATTTAAAAAATTTTAAATAAAAAAATTTCCATTTACATAAAATTATAATTTTATATCCATAATTATTTTTTGTTCAAGTACATGTACCACATGCGCCACATTGTTGACAGTCTCAAATTAATTTTTATCAGAATATAAATATTTAAATTTATTTTAAAATAATATTTATTGAAATAAGATAAAAAGTATTTTAATAATTATTTAATTAAAAATATTTGAATTTAATAAAAAAACAAATTTTTATTTTTGAAATTATTTTTTTAAATAATTTTTGCTCTAATACTTTTCTTAGTGGCATCCGAACCCTGCCTGTTTTTTAATAATAATTATTTTGATTTTATATTATAAAAAGTTAATTATTATTTTATTTGAATATTAACATTATTACTTTATTTTAAATGCTAATTGCATTTTCTGTCATTGAATCGGTAAGGATTTTATTTTGGTGTAAATTAATTTTCTTGTTGTTTGGATATGTTAAAAGTTTGAAGTCATAGTTTAAAGGTTTTCTAATTAATTTTTTAACAATTTGTTCAGATACGTATGTGCTGTTTAACAAATTGCAGTAAACATAATTAATTAATTTATTACAAATAAACATTTTTAAAATTATATATATATTTAATTTCCCTTATATGATGGCGAAATTAAGTTCACATTCTGTTTTGTTTAGAAGAAATATTTAAATATATTTTGTATTTCTGATTATTTACATTTTAAAATTATTTTTCTTAAATTGTTAATTAAATAATAAATTATTTAAAATAAATCTGTCAATTATCTCAATCCATAATCCTTTAAAAGACAATACAAAACAATCAAGAAATTTTGTTAAAATAACCAAATTATTTTTTAATTTTTTGAAAAATTTTGTTTATTAAAATCATTTTTGTATTTAATATAAATATTTTAAAGTTTTGTTTCACTGATTATTAATGGTTATTCGTGGGGAATAAATAATTTATTTAAAATTATTTTAATAATATATTTTAATTTATAAATTCAACTTTTATATTTCTAAAATATTTGTTAATTAAACAATTATTTAATATTAAATCATTTTATTTTAAAATATACATATTTTCTGATAATCTCGAGTTGCCCATAACATGAATATGTCAGTAGATTTTAAACAAATTCACGACTTTTCTCATTATATTTATCATTATATTTTTATTATTTACTAAATTATATTAAAGAATTATATTTTATAATGAATTTAATTCTGTTATCGCCCATTTCAAATGGGCCATTCGTTTAAAACAAATATAAAAATTGTTTTTAAGTTGAGAGTAATTTACAAACTTGAAAGCGTTTGTTAACATTATTTATTTAAATATATTAAAAATACTTTATTTTAAAGAATATTTCTTAAACTCTAATTTTTCTTATTTTAGAAAAAAAAATATATTTTGCATACTGTTGCTTTTTTAGTAATAGTTGACAAGTTGTATTATAAATATAAATTGAAAAATGAAGTTTATTTATTTAATTTAATTATTTTTAAAATATTAATTAATGATATTATTTTATTAAATTATTTTTGTTAAATATTTAAATTTAAATATTTTTAAATAATAATCACGATGCTGAGGTTTATCCTCTCGATTCCAAAGGAAAAAATTTTTTTGTATAAAATAATTTTTTGAAAATAATTATTTTTTAAATTTATATATTAATTATTTTGTTCAGGTATTTAGTATTTTGTTTTTTAATTTAAAAAAAATTTTTAATTAATATTCATAAAATAATTGTTATTTAGTTTCGTTGGTATATAATTCGCTAGAAACTGAGAAAATAATTAATTTATTAGTTTTTGTAAATATGTTGAGTATTTATCAAATATAGTATGTATTTTATTGTATTAATCTTATTAGTAAAATCGCTGAATCTTCAAACCAATTAAAATTTATAATCATTTTAGCCCACAACATCTAACAATATAAGGAAAATTAAAATATTATTAATTTCTGAAGAAAAATTTTTATTTTAATATTTTTTAAGTTATCATTTCTTCCTTTAATATAATTTAAATAATTATGTAGGTCAATTATTTTAGAAAACATCTCTTGAAGTGCACTATTTACCATTCTTCAACCTCTATTCAACTTCTAAAGTTGCATTTTTGTTCGAATTCTAATTTTGAATTCCCATAACGAAATTTTAAATTAATAAAATAAATAAAGTTGACATAAAATTCTAGGTTTTGCTAAGGATATAATTTTGGAGGGAAAATTAATAGTATTAAATAAATATAATGTTTTGATACGAGCCTCCATTTTCAAATTTTCTGAATTTCATAATTGTTTTTAACACATTATTTTTTACTTTTAAAACATTCTATAACTTATTTTATTAAATATAAATAGGTATATTTTATTCTTATTTTTTAAATTATCCTTCTTTTTAAACAAATTAAATAATATTTTTTGCATTTAATAAATAATTATAATATAACTAACTCCAATTAATCAAGAGACAAAAATATAAACTATCATTTTTTAATTAAATTATTAACGTCGATCAAATATCAAGATTCACTGATTATTATTATTTTTTATTTAAATTTGTTGGTGTGAGCTCCGGTCACAGGATTTTTGAAAAATTCAACAAAATTGTTTAAATAATTTTAGTTTAATATAATTTACATTAATATTTAAAAAAACATACAAAATTATATATTAAATTATTTTGTTTAAATTCAAATAATTATTGTTCTACCAAATATTTAATCGTTATTCGTGAAGAATATTTAATTTACATTATTTAATTATACATAATAAAATGTTATTATGCTAATCTTGGGAGCCTTTACATTGTTGCCAAAAAGTCTAAATTTAAAATTGTAGTAATTTATTATATTTTGTTGGTTCTAAGAGGGCTTAATGTGTACATAGGAAATTCCGAGGCTTTGCTCAATTTATAAAATAATTATAAAAATATTTTAGTAGAATTAATTTTACAAAATTAACTATAATTAAATAGATTTTATTTTTATTTTAATATTATAAAATTATGACATTTAGTCGTGCAATTGCATTTAATGTAGATTCAAAATGGTGTATTTAGTTTTTAAGTTGCTAATAAATTGTTTATAATTTTAAAAACAAAAATAATTATTTTAAGAATTATTTCCTTCGTTAAATTAATCTAAATAAATTAAATAAATAAAGATCACAGTGCTGAGGTTTATTCTCTCAATTCCAAAAGAATAATAATAAATTTTTGAAGATATGTTTATTTAATTAATAAATATTTTATTATATTTAAATTTAATTTTATACTAAATATGTATTTATCAACATAATAAATTTAGTAATGAAGGACATAAATAGACAAATCATAATTTTATATTTAATTTTTATAAAATTTAAAACACTTTTTTATTTGTTATTTAATTGAAAATATTTTTTTATAAATATGTATAAATCTTTATTTTTAATTATTTATTACATCAATTAAATGTTTATCTGGTTATTATTGTATGTATCTATTGGGAAAAAAGTTTTTTAATAAATCTTTATGTATTTTTAATAAAAATATTTTAAAATTATGTATTTAATTTTGTAACGAATTTTTAAATATAATTTAATTTTAAATTTAAATAAATATGTATTATTTTATGTATTTATTTTACATTGAATTTTTAATTTTGAAAAGAATAAATGAATGAGGAGAGTTAAAAAGAGCAAAATTTATTTGACCTTGGTGTGTTGTTTGGGAGGAGCAATTTGCTATTTGGTTAGCAAATAATATATAGAATCAATATATTCTTGTCTAGTTTAAAGTCGAGAATTTTCAAGAATTGGAAAATGGAAAGAATTTATAATAGTGGAAATTTAAAAAAAGAAATGTGAAAAAAATTTAAAAAGTAATTGGTATTATTTTGATTCAGATCCAGTTGATTTGCAATCAAGTTTGTAAAGAAATTAAAGTTCTAGGTAGTTGTTTTTATAGAACGAAGCTATGCTAATCTTTGATCACTTGTAAAATATACATATTTATTTTCATTTAATTGCTTATTTATTCCTCCTTTTCATTCAAAGTGCCAAAAGTCTTGCTATACAAAAAAGGTACTTGTGTAATTCCTAATTGTATTTTAATAAAGATTAATTTTTAAATATATTTTAAATAATTTATCTTGAAAAGGGAACATGTATACCCATTTTTATTTAAAATTAAATTTAAAAATGTCTCTTCAAACAATTAAGTTTCTTAAAGCAACCTAATATATTTTTTAAATATATTTTTGTTGTTTCCATTAGCAACGAAAGAAAATAAAAAAAATTTTTTTGTCAAAATCTAAAAAATTGCCTTAAAATTCAAAAAAAAAATAATTTCTTTTAAAAATAATTTAAATGTCCTTATTCCAATTTCAAGAATGGTTCTCTGCTACACAACAAAATTCATTCTCCCTTGCTGTAGCAAAAATAATTGGAGAAAGAGGTGTTTTTCTAATTAAAATTTTTGTAATTTATTTTTTGATTTTTAATTTAAAAATTAATTTTTAAATAAAATAATTTATCTGAATAAAAATTGAAATTTTTATAAAATTTATTTAGACCAAATAATTGTTGGTTCACTTGATGGAATACTTACAGGTATATTTTACTTTGATAGACTAAAATTTTTTTAAAATTATTTTTCAGTTTTCGATCCAGGAAGAGAGCCAAACCATCAAAACGAAATGGGAGTACTTTCTACCTTACAAATTGGCCGTCCAATTTTGCAATTATCTACCGGATATTTTTTACCTTCTTATGGCCCAGAAACAATAATTATTGTTGCTTTAACCCCTTCAACTTTAATTTATTTTAAAATTAATCAAAATAGTTTGTTGGGAAATTGTTTAGAAAATCTTTTTTTTTAATTTTTAGCTCAATCTTTATTTGAATGTGAACAAATATTTGAACATAAAATTCCTGGCCCTCCAGCTTTTAATTTCTGTCAAGGCAAGGATCAAGATCCGCTTTATTTGTAATCTCATACTTCTTCATTTTTAGGCTATTTTGGACGAGGCAATGTTGAACAAATTTGTGTTCAATCACTCCAAGGAGGCCTTATCCTTTATGAAGCAGAAAACAGAGTTCTTCAACGCTCAATTCCAGATATTTTACATCCCGGTCCTTTGGGTTATTCCTCCAATTCAGAATCCATGTAAAATTAAATTTATATATTTTATATTTAAAATGTAAAAATTAAAGAATAATTGCTTCTGGTGGTTATTTAAGGTCTGTTAGATATTCTACATTAATTGCTACTGGAACAAAACAAACTTATGTAAAAAAGATTTTTTAACTATTAAATGATTAGTACCTATTTAACTCTAAAATCAAGAAAAAACTCTAACTCTTGAGCTTTTATTAACAGATTGACTGGACAATACCTCTCGGTGACTGGGCTGTTCAAATGGTTATACTTCTCGGTGATCCTTCTGCCTCATTAAACTCCCGCCCTTCAAGTGCCGTTTTCAATTCAAATACTAATTTAAATTCTTCTATTTCGATTAATACAAATGCTCAAAATACAACAGGGTTTCCACCTTCAATTATTGTTTTATGCAAAAGAATTCTTTATTGTTTTACACACAATGGAAGTTTGAGATATTCTATTAGACTTCAAACTGTTGCTTTATCTTTACATATATTGTCACAAGGTATTTCTAATAACATACCTAAAATCTCTAATAGAATGCCGGGCACTCTATTTTTCAATCACATTCGAAAGGGGCATTCTATTAGAAGGGGCATTTAAATGGAGGGGAGAATTATAATCGGGGATAACCGACCTATTTATACACAAAAAACAAATTTTTGTTAATTAATTAAAAATATAATTTATAGGTAAAAGTTCTGAAAACAAACTAATTCAACAACAAACAGCTTTACCCATTTCTATTATTATTGGAACTGCTGGAAAAACATTATTATTTTATTCCGATACTAAACTAATTTGGAATGTTCAATTACCTTTTGCTGCACAAATTGTTGAAACTTGTACATTTAGGTGTTTTTAATTAATTAAAAATAAAAATTAAATTTTTACATGGAAGATAATCCAAAATTATTATTTCACAATAGAAATAAATTTCAAATATTGTCCACCTCACCCGAAATTAAATGCCATTAATGAAGACTAAACTCAATTTAATTCTTATTCTTTTACCTAAACACATCCAAAACATTTGCACAAATTGACAATTTACTCTTTAAAGCACGGTAAATAATAGGAGTGTATAATAGAATTTCGAGGTTTTTGAAATTACTTTCGGTGACTTGTAAAAAAATATTGGAATCATTGTCAGGGTCGAGGCGTAAACTTACTTTTAATCTCTACCATTTAATATTCTCAACAAAAATTTATTAAGTGATTCACTTCGTTCAATGATTGCTTTATTGTCAGAAAATTCCGATAAATTACTTGTTGGGTATTTGGGGACAGAACCTTCATTATTTAAAATGCCGGCATCAGAAACTCGTTTTATAGATTTTGAAGAAAAGAAAAAAGAATTGAGGGAATTCGAAAAAATAATTTTTTTAAGTGGAAGGGAAGGAGAAAATAAAGAAGAAAAAATAAATAAAATATTTAATTTTGAAGTTTTTATCGATAAAAATTCAAATTCATTTAATGAAGGAATTAAATCAGCAACAATTCAAATTAATTTTAATAATGAAGAAGGAAATAAAATAAATGGAGAATTAATATTAAATAATTTAAATAATCTTTATTGTTTACAAGGAAATCAACAAATATTGAAGGAAATTGAAAAATGTTAAAGTTTGAAAAATTAATTAATAAAAAAATACAGTTGTGGACAAAAAAATAGGGACAAAAATAAGTGAACTGAAAATTACCTATTTTTTAAGTTAAAAATCCATTTTAGAGGAATTTTTTTATTTTATTAGATACTCCCTTTAATTCTTTATTTAATTAGTATAAGATTTGCCGAATTAAAATTTTTCGATACCCAGCCCAAATTTAAATAAATAAATTGTGCTAATTTTTCAACGACAAAAAGATATGTTTCCTGTGACTAAGTATTCACTCAAACAAAAAATCTACAAAAACTCAAGTAAATATATTTATTGATAGATAATAGGAGGAAATTAATTAAGAAATGCATTTTTCGCTATTTATCGGAAGAATGTGCCAATTTAAAAAAACATGCTAATATTTTTCGGGCTCTGGTAGATATTAAAAATTTATTTTAAACAAATCTTTGTAAATCTAATAATAATTTTTAGTTTATTCATTTACTCTCTTTTGTCATGAAAATACTGTTTTGAATAATAAAATTCAAATACTTTTAATTATTGAAGGTTAATTAATATAATTATTAAACTTTAGATAATTATTTTTTTGTAGGAGAATATAATTTAATTCAATTATTTATTCCTTTATTTTTAATTTGCCGTGAAGTCCCTCCCCAAAGACAAGCAATATTTAAACTTTCAATAGATTCAACACAACCAGCTTTAGATATTGATATTTTATTTCCCGAATTTTCAAATCAAAAAGAGGAAATTGGAAAAGTAATTTTTAAAAAAAATTTTAAAAAAATAAAAAAAATTTTCTTTGAGGAAATTACAAATCAAAATAATCTAGTTGAAGGTAAAAGAACATCAATTGCTTTACAACCATTTTTTGGAGAATCTAATACAACTGTTTCTCTATTTATTTCAACTAAAACAAGTTTTTTTCTCTAAAAAAATATTTTTTTAATTTAATGAAAAATATTTGTTTAGATCGTTACAGAATTCAATCAGACAATACAGATTTTGTTTTTGTTATATTTTCTGTTTTAATTGAAAGAATTCAAAAAAATCAACCAGAAGCACGTCTTCATTGCCCTGTACCCTTACATTTATGTTTAACTGAAATAGCTAAATATATTGAGGTAATAAAAAACTGTAAAAACTTATTTCTTATAGACACCCTCTCTAATATAATGGCTTCTTCTAACATCGCAAATATACTATATGGACAATGCCTTTTTCAATGTTTATATATTTTAGAGATTCACAAAATTCATAAAAATCAGTTTATAAAGCCACCTAAAATTCATCAGATAATTTCAGAAAAAATATTTTAAATAATTTTATTTCTAAAGGCCGAGGAAGAATGTGCTAATTTAGAAAAACAAGCTAGTATTTTAGCTACACAAATGCGTCAAGTAGAAACTGTTTTTCTTAGTCGATTAAAGGCTTCTCAAAATGAAAATATAATGGAAAATTATGAAAGGATGCCTGTTGAATCACTTGTTGAATATAGCCATAAGTAAATTTTATTTTAAATGATATAAGAATTAAAAATAGTAAAGGAACAAAATTTTGAGGCATTTCTAACCTAAAAAAAATTTAATTTTTTTTCAAAGAAAGATCGTTTCTAAAACTATTTTGGAAAACATTTATTTTTAAATTAATTTGTAGAGAATTAATGAAAACTTTGGATCAACTAAATTCAATTTCGCAAAACCAGTTAAATACAAAAAAGAGGAAATCACTTGGATCTCTTCTTAATTTAATGAATTCAACTCTTAAATTAAATGGTATACAATTGCCTTTTGATGGAAGAATTTTAGAAGGAAGTGATTTGGTAAAATAAATAAATTTGAAGATTATTTTTAAAGAAAAAATATTTTTTAAAGACTTTAAGTGAACAATTATCTCAATTACTTAATTCACAAACAGAAATTAATAAAAAATTAAATTCTGCTGAAATTGGACGTCTTTTAACTAATTTTTGTGAAAGAAATGAAGGAAATTTGGGGGGAATTGTTGAAGAGGAAGAAGAGGAGGAGGAAATGGAAGAAGAAAATGAAATAAATAAAGAGGAAGAGAAGAAAAAAGAATTAAATGAAGCTTTAATTAAATCTGAAGAATTTATGGAATTTGTAGAATTACAAAGTGGATCGTTACAACAAGATGGAAAATTGGATGATTTATAACAAAGAATATCTGTATCTTGTAAATTAAATTGTAAATAACACACGCATATAGTTCTACGCTTACACAAAGATATTGCATCTTGCACAGAAAGGATAATTTGAAGAAAGTGGGGAGCAAAGTCTGACGCAATTTTGTTTAAAATTTATGGCCCTATATAAAATTAGTGCCACTGGCATAATGTAACTAACAAGGAAGAAAATGCTGACTATTATGTCATGTCAAGTGAGGAAAAAAGTAATGGAAAAAAACAATTCCAAACCTAATTTCATATAGAGCCAAATTTATCTTTATGTAACAATGGCGTTTAGGACATAGACTTGTCCTAAACTTCTCGAAAAGTTTAAGACATAAAAATAAAAATTCTCGAAAATGTCAGACTAACCTTTTAATTTAAAAAGAATTCTTTAAAAGTTCAATTAAAAAAACAAAATAAAAAAACAAACTTTCAACATTCATCTTCAAAATCATCTCTTTCATTATTATATAACTTAACATGTTTCTTAATTTTCGAATCTCTTGCCCAAGTTATTTGATCAGATTGTGTACGAGTAACAAGAAAAGCAGGATCAGTAACTAATTCAATTCCAACACGGATATGGCCCTGTTCAACAAATTGACTAGCTTTTTGGATCTAAAAAACAAACTAAAGAACTGATATAAAATCCTGATGAGTTATTTGAAGTATAAATTTTTCAGTTGAATTCAAAAGAAATTAAAGAATTTTCTGCCTCGTCTAAATTTCTCATAGAGACTTCTGAAAGCAAGGATTATTATTTCATTCAAAACCCAAACTGAATGGAAAAGGAAGTGAAATAAAACGAACTTCGAACAACTTGAACAACGTTAGAGCGCCTGTGACTAAATTTTCGGATGGGCTCCCACTTTACATTGAACATAATTAATCAAAAAAATATAAACACTACCCAAAAAATAAAATAAAAAAATAACCGTCGTTGCCATTTCTGCTTTATATAAAACAACAGGCAAACGTCTTCTGCAAAAGGATGAAGCTGTTACACCTTCACAACGTTCCAAAGTATCTGCCGTTTCAATAAGGCCCATATCATATAATTTTCCAAGTAAACGACGAGCAAATATTAATTTATTTGGATTTTTGTCATCCAAATCCCGAATTCTTTTAGCAATTTCTCTCACCTGAATTCAAATTTCATAATTAAGGAAAATTGGTTTCCTAAGTTAAAAACAACTTATTCTCAAATGGAATCCACATTTATAGTAATATCAACTAGGACTGCCGTTTTCTAGTCCCCCGACGGTCGAGGCATTTTTTCGGGCTTGTTTTTATCAAGTCGGGCAGGTACAAGCCTTTTACGGGCCAAATATCTTAGGCCCGACTCGATCTTTCGGTCCGACTCGCACCATATTGGCCACCCAGACCTCAGTCAAACCTATCAAAATTTTATTAAAAATCAACAAACCTCTCTAGATAATTTATTATAAATTGTGTAATGTTCTCTCTTCTCAACATGATATCTTCTCATTATTTTATTTTCATGTAAGCTATTATCCACCTCTGGCCAATGAATAAAATCAACTTTTTTGAGAAGTTTCTTTTCATGATATTTTAATTTACGAACCATTTTTCTATTTAAAATAATTTAAAAAAAATTAAAATAAAAAATAAATTAGGATGTATAACAAATAAAAATTGAAAAAAATATACAAGGAATCATTTTACAAATAAACAAAAAATTATTTTTAGATGGCATACATTTAAGATGAAGCAATCAAAATAAAATCATTTTAGAAAAAGTAGAAATATTCGAATAAAGTATAAATTTATTTTTTTATTATTTCTGTTATTTTTAAGGTTATAGTTTAAATTTATTAATTTTTCAAAGAAATTAAAGGCACACACAAGATTAAAACGTAAATATTAAATTCTAATTAATTAAAGATGACGATTAAATACAAATATCGGTAATATTGAACCGGACAGACCTTTTTTCCTCCCCAATTTTTCCCCTATATTTTTACAAAATGGTCAGATTTTTCCTTTCTTCCATCCAAATTGCCTTTCTAATTTTTGCCTTCAATCAATCAAAAAGGATTATTTAATTTATACAAGTGCAAGTACATGAGGATGGAAGAAAGGAAAATGTCTGACCATTTTGCAAAAATACAGGGGAAAATTGGTGAGGAAAAAAGGGGTCTCTGTCCTGTTCAATATTACCCAAATATCATTAATAAAAAATTATTCGTCGTGATTCTGAAAATCAGCTAGTTTTCTGATAACTTGAATTAAAAATTAGAATTTATCTAGAGAGCCTTATTTTCTTTAAGAAAAAATTAAAAATCAAACTGAAAATCTTACAAATGGGAAAATCAATAAATTTTCTATATTCCTCTACAAACGTTTGAAACGTTTTGAAACAAAATCAAAAGACCCACTGCATGGAGATCCACCCCCATTAGAAGAATGTAAATGTCGTTTACGGTGACGATGAACTTGATGTTGAAGGAAATTTCCAAGGCCAATATTTCGATGGGGTGAAGGACCCGTAGAGGGTGAATTGTTGCTGTTGGACAGTGGATCGAGCACCTTCAAAGAAAATATAAACAATTAAAAAATCTCAGTCACAATTAAATTTTATGGAAATTAAATAAAGAACTTAAAATCGCAAAATCAAGAAATAGAAATTTTTACTATGCATAAGATAACAATTTGACACGGAAACGTTTTACTTATCAGGTTGGCTCATAAAGTTCACTTATCAAAAAAAGTTAAAAAACTTTTTGTAGGGACCGAGATATGGTTACCAAGTTCTTTTTTGTGGTCAAAAGTTGGTTACACAAATGATAGCTCTTTCGAAAGAGCTGCTACTGATTGGAGGTACTATTAGTGAACCTCCAGTCATCTACAGAATATTTAAAAGAAACCTCTTGAAATAGAAAGACTGCCTGTTGAGTTCCGCCAGCTGGGTGTTCGGCCGATGGAATTGCTGCTGTCGCGATGTTGGGTTGTTCACTTCCACGCTGTTGCTTGGCTCCAAAAGCAGCAGTTGGCAACAGATCATATTTAGATAGTAAAGCAATAATATCTGCTACATCAATCTAATATTTAAAAAAACCTTTTAATTCATTTTGAGCAAAAACTTTGTTTTTGTAGCGACACATTGCAGAAATTTCTCGAGAAAGAGCCAAACGACCTTTGAGAAAACCACGATCAAAAGAACGTTTTTTCATTTCAAGTCCATGCTAGAAAATAATTAAATCTTGTGTTATATAATTAAAAGAACGAAAAATCGTGTAAATTAAGACAGAGGGAGCAAAGAATGCGCGAGAAAGTAAATAAGAGTTCTTACAGTTCGTAAAAAAGTTTTAAGCATACTAGAAATTAAATCCAGAAATTAAGATGTTGACAACAAAATTCAGTAATGAAAATGTATTTTAGGTTATGCTTTTAATGTTCTAATTTTTTAAATTCATTTTTAACCTTATAAAGCTGGGTCGTTGAAGCAGCCGCAGATTGGAGAGTTCGCCAATTAGAATTTCGATAAAGATGAGTAACTTGACAATAATTATAAATTTCAAGCTTCTTTATAAAAAACCTGAAGTAGCACAAGTCTCAAATTCATTCCAAAGTCCATCATCAGAAGAATCCTCATCTGGCAATGATTCATTTCGATTGCTTTCTGACATTAGTATTAAACACACTACTTAATTAATTTTTAACCCTGATAATATACCTAGAATTAAATTAAAATTAAAAGCATAAAGAAAAAAATGACAACAAAAATCAAGCAAGAAAACAATAGATTGCAAAATAAAAGAAAATTTGGGTAAGGGACGACTCAGAGTCGCCAATTCAGAGTCGCCGATTCAGAGTACGGGGAAAAGGGGACGATTCAGAGTATGAAGAATAAAATGTCTAAAATCGAGATTTTTGGAATGCAATTGATTCACAGCAACATAAAACAGGCAGAGGGTGCAACCAGCCTTTCAGTGCGGGAGTATGGTTTAGTTGGTTAGTGACAGCGAAAAATGCACAAGGTTCGAATCCTTTCAGTGAAAATGAATTATATAATAAGGAAATCCTAATAATATCTTTTCTAATTAACATTTAATGTCATTTTAAATTAAAATAAATTTTTTCAAATCAATCTTTCCTTTATTTTTCATTTTCTAAATTTACTTATAAAACCATATGTAACTTTTTTTAAACATATTAAAAATCAATAAATTTGGTTTTAAAACAAAGATAAGACTTTGTTTAACGATTTGGCTAAGTTGAAATTTTTTTCTCAAAGTTTTTTTTCGAGATAAAGCTTCTCGAAATTATACATCAAATCTTTAGAGAAATAGCATGCGAAAAAAATAGAGCGATATAGAAAAAGAGAAAATTTTTCATTTATTTCAGTGCCACTGAAACGGCTCTAAGTTGCAGGTTATGTTGCTGTGTTGATTTATTATTTTTGTTTCCTTTTACTGTTTTAGAGAGATAAACAACAATTTGCACAACCAAAACAATTATTCAATGCCACAAAATAATTTTTAATAAAAATTTAAAATTTTTAAAATTTTCTTTAATTTTTCGGTTTTGTTTAGTAAAATGATGAAATGGTGTTGTTATATTATAATGGCATAAATAATCTGTAAAGAAACAGATGAAAACAATTAATTGACTTGAATTACATATGTCAAAAAGTCAGCAAGACTCTTTTGTCTTTACATTTATTTTCAGTCTCAGCACAAACCTAAACCTTTAGGCTTGCTTGTCAATAGAGTCTCGGCGACTTAGCATCGAAACGCCTTTTTCTATGCCATAACTTTTTTCATTTCGATCATTTCCAGAAAATTTTCTTTATCAATTAGAATCTATATTTGTTTTTATTCTTTTTATTAAATTTATGAAAGGATCCGATCATTTCTTAGAAAGTTACACCCGCCTAAGTATGTTAAATCACGATTATTCGCAGTTAACGGCTCCTAACTTTTTTGAAAGACGGTAAAACTAAACATTTTCTTTGAAAAAATAACCAGCACTTCCAGAGCTTTTAATTAAAGCAAAAATTATTTGAATTGAATCAAAAACAAAAAAGTTATATCCCAAAAACTTTCGTTTTGATGCCATATTTTAAGACTCTTTCGTTACCTGGTAGATTTTAGCCTAAACCTTTTGAAGCCTAAACCTTTAGGTTTTTGAACATTTGAGTCTCACCACTCTTCAATTTTTTTTTAATTCTAGCTTTTTTAATCGTGTGTTCTTAATTAGTGTATAAAGATGAACTCGAACTGATATTCTGGTAATAGAAATCCCATAAATTAAGAATCACATATGTAGATAATTTTTGAATTTATTTGTGAATTCCTTGGAGAATTTCATTCCCATCTCTAAATTTAATTTAGTATTTTACTCATAAAATTATTTTCCGCCATTGAATAATTGCCGTTTGTTGTCCAAATTGTTTTTTTTCTCCCTAAAACAATAAAACGAAACAGAAAAGAATAAAAAGCAAAAAAATAAATCAAGTGCTTTCCAAAAATCTGGATTTACAGGGTATTTTATTCTATGTACTCTGAATCGTCCCCTTTTCCCCGTACTCTGAATCGGCTACTCTGAGTCGTCCTCTATCCTACCTGAGTACGAGACGAAAAAATTATGCAGGTCATAGGACTACCGGCCATCATGCTCTACACAATTACAAAAAAACTTATTTTAGCAGCCTAAACTAGTGGGTCCATAGTTAAATGGAGTAATTGTATATTTCATATTTCGAGTTTAACATTCCAAAAAATGTTTATGGTTTTTTATCTTATATAAGAAAAAAATACAAATTAATTGCTTATTTTTAATTTTTTAATACATATAGTCGGACCTCGTTTTTAAATATCCTTTGTTTCTGAAAGAATCATATTTAAAAGATTTTCTATAAACGAGATCCTTTGTAATAGATTTATTCATAAAAATAGTTTGGAAATTTGTGAAAATGTAAAAATAATTCGTTTATAATAATAGAAGTAAATTATGTATTATTAGCAGGGTTCGTTTTTTGGTAGGTCGATGAGGATTATTTTTAAAAATGCGGATTGCGGATTTCCGATATAAAATGCGGACATTTTAGATCAAAACTGCGGATTTTTAAAAATTTGAGATACGAACTCTGATTATTAGGTTGAGCAAAATCAAGAAGAAATACTACAGAAACTAACTACTGTATGTGATCAAATTTGAGAGGAAAATATTTTAAAGTTTTTGAGGGAAATTATAATTTATTTTTTAATTATTATTAATCACATACATAAAAAATAACTTAAAAAATTAAAAATCTTAATTATTTATATATTTTCTCCTTAATTTATTGCTGCAAAAATATTTTTCCATTTTGTTTTTCTTCTCATTTTTTTTAAAAAGTCACTGCTCTAGGTGATGTATTTATATTACTCTCCTGCATTCCCCCAACAACTATTTGTTGTTGTTGTTCTTCTGTTTCAATTCCAAACGGATCAGCACCATCTGTTGAAGATGTCGATGTTTCCATTGTTGGATTATTAACTTCAAAATGTTCAGTATTTCCATTAGAAACGGAGCCGGTATTGAGAAAACGTTGATGTAATTTTTTAACTAAATCCATATGTGGGGGTTCCATTCCAAATTCTGCTCGATATCTAAAAAATTAAAATATTTTCTTTTAATTAATCTCCACACCTTCTCGCCACTTGTGCAAAAGAATTTGTCTCTTCAAACCAACAAACTAATTTTGCCTTTTCTAAAACACTAAGTACACGTACTCCAGTCGAGAATGCTGAACGAGTTATATAGTGCACCATTTTAATTTTTTAAATAAATTTTTATCTAAAAAAAATAATTTTTTGTTAATTTATTTTTTAAAAATAAATTATTTTTATTTAAAGAGCAAAAAACTTCTAAAAAAATTAAGGACAAGTAAACGTAATGTTCAAAAAATTGTAAATAAAAAATATATTTAAGTGTACACACAAAAATAGAAAAAAATGGAAAACTCGTGCTATTTTCCTCTATTTTGATGGAAAAAAATAAACTATTTTTTCTTATATTTTGATAGATTGGAAAATAAAAAAATGAGAGGGAAGGAAGGAATAAATAAATTTGTGTTGGTTTTAACTAAATTTTATTTTAAATTAATTGATATTTAAAAAATAATAATTTAAAAATTTGTAAAGCTTATATTTCCATTTTTATTAAAAACTTTAAGATATTTTTTTAATTAAAATATTTTTTTAATATTTTTTTTAATTTTTTTAATTTTATATTTTTTTAATTAAAATGTATGAAAGTTTAATTTAAAACAATTAATTATTTAAAAGAGACAGCTGCTTTATTGGTGCAAAAAAAGAAAAAATACATATGTACATATACCAAAATTTCTTTTATTTTATAAAACTTCTTTCCTCAGAAAAGAGAAAATAATATTTAAAAGAATGTGATACTTTTATGTATTTCCTATAAAAACTTTAAAAATTAATTTAAAAATATTTAAAGAAAATAAAAATAAAATTATTTTTAAAAATTATTGAACTTTAAATTTTATAGTAAAAAAGGTGACAATTATGTTTGCTTGTTGTAGTAATTTTTTTTAAATGTTTTATTTTTTAAACTAAGAAATAATGAAAGAAAAATTAAATTGATTAAAATAATTTGTTAAAAATAAACAGTACATTTTAAAAAAACTGTTAAATTAAAAAGATAAAATCATTTAAAGAATTATAAACTAAACCAGGGCTCCGATTCGTACTTTTTTAAAAGTATTGTACTTTTTTATCGACCTTCGTACTTCCGAAATTGAATTTGTACTTTTTTGAAAGTATGTACTTTTTTATCAACATTTTTGAAAAAACGAAGAAATCTGGCTTAAGGACCTCCAAAATTCTCAAAATTTTCGCCTGCGGCGCAAAAAATGGAAGAAATCTGGCTTAAGGACCTCCAAAATTCTCAAAATTTTCGCCTGCGGCGCAAAAAATGGAAGAAATCTGGCTTAAGGACCTCCAAAATTCTTAAAATTTTCGCCTGCGGCGCTGAAAAAGAAGAAATCTGGCTTCTTAGGCTCCAAATTTCAAAAAATTTTCGCCTGCGGCGCTTCTCAATGGCAAACATTCAATGGACGAAGGAAAGAAACTCGCTTGAGGTTGACTGTCAGAGCTTTGCTTCATGTGACAGCAAATTTTGACATGTCATGCAATGAAATGCACAAAATGCTCAGTTGAAACAAGAAATTATTAGAAAAGATTAATTTAGGAGAGAAATATAAAAGATTGATCACGAATAAATATTTTCAAATTTAATTTTGAGTGTACTTTTTATTTGCAAATTTTCTCCCTATGTACTTTTTTTACAAGATTTTGATACTTTTGAGTGGCATTTTGTCAATCGGAGCCCTGAACTAAACATTAATAAATTTGTGTTGACGAATGAAAGAAAAAAAAAGATAAGAATTAAAAATAAATAACGTGTAATACATAATTGTTAATGGACAATAAAAAATAATTATTTTTTAAAATGCAACATTAAATGTAAGGAGTTGGATAGATTTTTAAAGTAATTTAACAATAAAATATCTTTGAAGATAATATACTAGGGTTTCTCCTAAAATATACTAAAATACTAATGTTACACCCCCCCCCTCACGTTCAGGGGAGTTTATGGATCAGTTTCACTCAATTTGCTTTTGACAATACCCCTCTAAACCTTCTACTTTCAAGTGTGGTCTATTAATTGAAGAATCTAATAGGCTAAAAATTAATTAAATAAAACAACGAAATTTTTTAGTCGATTTTTAGCCTTATTTTAGTCGAATTATACATATTTTTGCTTTTTTCGAGACGAGAAAAAACCTGACCACCCAAAGGACAACAACTGTCCAATACTTTCTAAAATTTTGTTAATATAATGAATGAATTGAATACTTTCAATTCATTTTATATAATTATTTCTTTAGAAGAATGGGGGGTGGAGACTCCAAAGAATATGAAAATAAATCAAAAAAGCATTCTTTGTGCTCCCCAATATGACCATATTTGGGAGGAAGGAAATATAGAAAGATTTTTATAAAATATTCTTTGCTCTTCCACCAATTTTGATTGTTCTAATAAATAAATAAATGGTTGTTGATTGTAAATAATCAATCATGATGATGAAAACGTGTATGAAAACGTGTACTTACATAATCTTGCAAAAATTTGAAAATAAATTCTTGACTTTGTAGAGAAAAATAGAAAATAAAAATTAATTTAAAAACGAGCGTTAGGACGCCGCTTCGCGGCGTCCTAACGCTCGTAAAACACCTAATTTTTCCAGACGAATCTTACCCATTGCAGGATCACCAAAATTTATAACTAAAATCCCTATTATCCTTTAGTCCAGGATGATCTGATATCCATCTTAACCACCCTAAAATCAAAGATACACACTTTATCGCCAAAATCATTTCCTGTCACCATCTTAATTACCAACCCAAATCCTTTGTAATGTCATTTATTACACTATCAATCTCAGTTTTCACCATTTATCCATCAAACTCACAAATCCATTGGTATCCCTCTAATCACCCCCAAATCCCAGATATCACTATGACCCTCTGTTTTTCCTCTACAAAGCCCGAATTCTAAGAAACACCTATAGCCATCAAAACGTATTAAATCCCTCTTAATCAAACAGACGCAGATATCAGAATTTATCCTGGAAATCCTCAGAGATCTCTTCTAAGATTATTCTCTTAATCACCATCCCAAATCTTCTGGTATACCTCTTAAGCGCCACAAACCGTTTATCTCCTAACTCTCTGATTTTACCCTCGCCCAAATCCGCTAATATCCATCTTAATCACCTCCCAGATCTCTCATATTCATCATCTTAATCATCAAATCCTCTATTATCAAATCCTCTATTATCAAATCCTCTATTATCCCTCTTTTTCATCTTTTATTCTCAAAATTCTCTGATATCTCTCTTATCACCCTCTTACCTCTTTCGAAATCTTCTGGTCCTCAATCACCCACATTATCAGCTATCAGCTTTTTCCTAAAATCATAGATATTATCCTTTAGCCCCAAAAACCTTTGTTATCCCCTTTAAACATGTATATAAATTCTCTGTTATCTCTCTTAATCCCCTCCCCCACACAAAATCTCACATATCCCTTTTTATCACTCCAAATCCTCTGATATACGTCTTTAACACCCCCACCCTCCAAACGCTCTATATCATTCGTTATTCCCCATTCCAAAACCCAATCTACCACACTATATCCTCCAAGAAACTAAAGCTTCTTAAAACACCAGAAATCCTTCTTGATGTCCAAAATTTCTAAAACTGTTATTAATCGAGTGAATCCACATACATCACTCTTATTCACCCTAAAGTCCCCTACACCACTCTTAATCGCTCCACAATCCCCGAAAACCCTCAAATACCTCTATATCACTCTTAATCATTCTCAAAATCGATGATAACCTTAATCCCCATATCACCTTATATCACTCTTAATCACCAACAGAAATTTCGAATCATCAGAAACAGCCAAACTTACTAATCCCCACAATCCCCGTTATACCTAGTAACCCCAATATCCCTTAATATCGTTCTTTTTCGCACTATAGCAAAAACACAAAAAACCTTTGTTCACCAAACTTAGTCACTCCAAAAACACTGACAACACTTTTAAACCACAAATCCCCCCATATCACACTTAAACAACAAAAAAACCTGTTATCCTTATTAATCCAGAAACCCCTACACATCCCAAAAACTCCTGAATAATATTACTGCCCGAAATCAATCGGTCACTTAAATTTTTTATTTCACTTCCAATCAGCCAAAATCGCCGAAATCCCTCTTGATACCTACAAATCTATTTTATCAGGCTTTACCACTTAATCAATGTTCTACTCTTAATCACCCCTTATTAATCCAAAAATAATTTATAACTTTATTTCACGGATCATCGATATCCCTTTAATCTCAAAATTATATCTCTGTTATTACTCAAATCCCCTCTCCTCATCTTGTCCCCAAAATCCCCGGTATGCTTCTTAATCCCTGAAAAATTCGCTTATATCGCACTCAATCTGTCCTTAATCCTTAATATCTTTCTTAATCACTTCAATTTTCCCGATAATTTAAAAGATTCGAAAATCCTCACAAAGCCGTTACATTTAGGCTTATAAGCCCCCAATATCACAGTTCGTCTTCGATATCGCTCAATTTGACTCCTAACTCCTCTGTGGCTTAATACTCAAGTCCGGGTATCCCTATTAATTCCATAACACCCATCTTTTTTCCGAGATAGCTTCCTTCGCACATACCAACCCAAATCCTTTGTAATGTCATTTATTACACTATCAATCTCAGTTTTCACCATTTATCCATCAAACTCACAAATCCATTGGTATCCCTCTAATCACCCCCAAATCCCAGATATCACTATGACCCTCTGTTTTTCCTCTACAAAGCCCGAATTCTAAGAAACACCTATAGCCATCAAAACGTATTAAATCCCTCTTAATCAAACAGACGCAGATATCAGAATTTATCCTGGAAATCCTCAGAGATCTCTTCTAAGATTATTCTCTTAATCACCATCCCAAATCTTCTGGTATACCTCTTAAGCGCCACAAACCGTTTATCTCCTAACTCTCTGATTTTACCCTCGCCCAAATCCGCTAATATCCATCTTAATCACCTCCCAGATCTCTCATATTCATCATCTTAATCATCAAATCCTCTATTATCAAATCCTCTATTATCAAATCCTCTATTATCCCTCTTTTTCATCTTTTATTCTCAAAATTCTCTGATATCTCTCTTATCACCCTCTTACCTCTTTCGAAATCTTCTGGTCCTCAATCACCCACATTATCAGCTATCAGCTTTTTCCTAAAATCATAGATATTATCCTTTAGCCCCAAAAACCTTTGTTATCCCCTTTAAACATGTATATAAATTCTCTGTTATCTCTCTTAATCCCCTCCCCCACACAAAATCTCACATATCCCTTTTTATCACTCCAAATCCTCTGATATACGTCTTTAACACCCCCACCCTCCAAACGCTCTATATCATTCGTTATTCCCCATTCCAAAACCCAATCTAC